CAACCTCCACCCGCCAGTTCCTTCAGGACCCGCGGATGGATCTCATCAGGTCCCATGGACTTGTGCACCTTCAAGTTCCTCAGATGTTCCCGAACCTGGTCTTCAAGTACAGTGGGCGGTGGTTCATCCTCACAGTCCCTGCTAGTTCTTTCCACAGCTTGGGTGGTAAGACAAGAGGCTTTACCATTGAAGACTGAGGCAAAAAATTCATTGAGTACCTCAGCCTTCTCTATGTCCCGGGTAACCAAAGTTTATAAAAGTTTAAAAGTTTATAAAACTTTATAAAAGTTTATAAAGTTTCTACCTACGGGATTACTGGTTATGTGCTTAAAGGAAATCAGACCTTTTAAGCTATTCCTTTAACACAAGTTAATAATCACAACCTCTACAAATTTGTTTCTAAAGACTTTTTTTCATGACCATGCCACTACAGCAGGTCACAGTTATCACCAAATTTAAAATAATAAATATCTGTTATGTGTTTTCAACTTGAACTGAGTTTCTTCATTTTATATAATATTCTGTATTATAGTGCTCATTTCTGGAATGATTGCATCAAAATATTCCCACGCAAATTTTTCACTTTGTTTTGTATCTGAAACTAACGTGATTACAGATACAGGTAACTTCTACTCTCATTGAGATGTTTTAAGTTCACAAGCAACTGTAACATTACATGCTTACTCAGCATATTCAGCAACCTTCACCCCACTGCAAGACCCTGTCCATTACCTTCCCACACACCTCAGCTCAACAAACACCAGAGGGGCCTCATTCTGATGGAAACTTCTTATACAACAATTTGGTAACAAAGTTAAAGATCCACCCTACAACATCAGAAACCGATAGAGTAATTTCAATAAATACACAAATTTTGAAGAGCCAAAACTGAATCCTTATTTCATAGAAAAAAAAAAAAATCTTAAATTGTGGCAGCTATTTTGCCTTAGCTGAATATCATTACCTTCAGAAGAACAGATTTTAATTCCATACTAAAGTGTATTTTCAAGCCTGAAGCATCAATGTTACCTCATACACAAATTGAATGTTCACTGCAGGTTCTTCCTCCAAAAGTACCACCTTGGCTTGCACAATCACAACAAAAACCTAATTACCTAGAACTCATAATTATAAAGGTAATTTCATCAGTTTTCACCTTTTGAGAAGACTCAAGCTGTACTTCCAGGCCATATGCTTTCTGACGCAGCATTTCCAAATGAGCATTTTGTTCTCTGAGACAGTTCTGAAACAAGGACATCTGCTGCTGGGTTTCTAACATTTCGTTTTTCCCAGGGCTTTTACTCCTCTGCATCTCATTAGCCTGGGCACATAAAGGTACTCACAGTCAGAAGAAAGTTTCTATCAGAGTAACTCATATTCAAGTCTCACTATGCATAAAATACACCACAATAATTTACTATAGGTTTACCGTATGCCTTTCATTCTCAACAAATAAGAATCTCCCTCAAAGAAGTCAGATAACACTTGTCATGTTTCACATTCTATTACTTACTGTAAAGATATAAATGTTAGATAATTCATCTCTATGAAGCCCCTAAAACAAAGCAGGACTTCCAATGGACTGGACATACATGTAAAACATGGTGAGAGGACAATGAACAAAATTAGTCTTCTCTGCAAAGGATTTACAGCTCAATACTAAAGGGTTTTTTTCTCTCTACCTCCCTCCAAATGAAGACATTTACCACTATGGGGGTAAAATAAAATGTGGTTTATTAATTTTTAAAATCCTTTTCTAAAGACTTGGCTAAAATCAAGAAGATAATATTGAAAACAGTATCAGTACTTTCATCTGTTAACAAGGATGACACGCTTCCACAACCAACTTGCCCCATATTACTAGCCTTGTTTAGAATATGCCTGAAGTGCTATTTAGAGGCTTTATCATTATCTTTCAATGGCTTATGGAGCAAACCCCAACACTTTCCCAAAGAGTATTTCCCAACACTATTACCCCATATTTTGTCAACAGCAGTCAGAATTACACACAGAAGGCAGGTTTTTTTGTTCTTTTCCAAAATTAGATAGTTTAGAATTTATTTTCCAGGGCATGAGCAACTCCTTCAAGATAATCCCTGGACTTCAGTACGATCTAGTTTTTGTTTTTAATATTTTTTAAACGCCCTTCCTATCCAGACATTTAAGACATGTAATCCCTCCTAGCGCAAGTCTTATCTTGCAAACCTGGCATGGTTAAGTAAACATAAACTCTTCGGCATATACTACAAGGCTCCTGAGACAATAAATACACAGGTGTTCAGAGATAATAGCCACCAGAACACTGAGCATCACAAAAAAAAAAAAGAAGCATTTTAATTCTTATTTTTTTTTAAAGTAGATGAAAGGCTGCAGTATATCTTATTATCCAGAGATTAGATCCATGAACAACGTGTTGCACTGAAGCAGGGGCTGCATCAACCATCTTCAGGCTATTTGAAATTCCCTTCTTTGAGCCAAGTCATATTACCCCAACATAGCAAGTTTCTGTGTAACAGCTGAGCTGTTAGAGTTGTCCATGCATATACTCAGAGCTTTCTTTGGCAAATACAAGGAAAACCCACCATAAGCTCGTATCATTACACTTATTGTTGCATATAGATCCCAAACCACTAACAATATCAGGTAAAATTCCCTAACATGGGTTAAACTGACAAAGAAGTGTAATGACCTCCCAAACATTACACAAGCAAGTAAGTGGAAAATCTAAGGATGTCTCCAGAACTTCTCCCTAGCAAGTGGAAGATTCAGCCTCACCCTGAAATAATTTTGTCTGGTGCATTGCAAGCTGAACTATGGAGAGCTATGTGATAAGCTCAGTATGTTTTTACATTCATATTCCAAACTTTTTCTTATTCTCTTTGTAAGGAAACAAAAATTGGAGGAGAGGCACACCTGATGTAACCGAAGTTGCAAATCATGAATCTGAACAGCTACACATGAAGCCTCTTCCTGTAGGTCATCCTGATCCTTCTTCACCTGTTGAAGGCAGCTTGTTAGTTCCCTGATCACTTCACTCTGCTCTTGAAAGGTAGTTTCCTACATGGATCACAAAAAGTGCATTTTCAAAAATGAAGTATTCTTAACATATTAGGAACCCAGCAAGTTTTCTTAAAGCAAAGCTGTTAGAGTCTATAGTTACACTTAAGTTCTAAAAACTTGTACCAAAGGACCAGAAATACTTATGTCCAAACATGACGGCAGGCATGATGAAAGAGGAATCTTACGCTGATCCCAAAGAGATGACAAACCTAATCAAAAGTGACTTTTTGAACAAACGATAGGATACCAGCAATAAAAATCAGTAATTTTACTTCAAAATTTTGTAGCTCTTATTGATGTAAAAGCAATCAATTTTTCTACAGGATATAACGAATATTTAGTATCCCTTAAATTGTCTCCTATCTGTCAGCTCTTCTTTTGAGCCATGTGACAGAAAGTTAATCAGATGGAATACTTTAATCCTGTTTTATGTTAATCATGTTAACCTTTTCAATTTATTTCTCACCAATAGGTAATGTCTTTTTTTCCCAATCCTAAAAGGAGAAAAACAGCATGTAAAGGGGGAAGTAACTATTCTTCAGAAGCACCTGATAATTTACCTTTAAACAGAAATGCTAGAAAAAGGGAATTCAAAATATCTTTTATTAATATTTTGGCAGAGGTACACGTAAGTTTAGTAAAGTTTAACTTATCCTACTTAATCATTTGCCCATATGAAAAAAACAAAACACCACACCACCCCAAAATCAAAAAGCCACAAGTATTTACAAACATTCAAAAAGCATGAAAGCATTCAAAAAAGCAGAACTAGAACCCTGGACTTCAGTAGGGCCAACTTTGATCTTTTCAAACAATTGCTAGGAGAAATCCCATGGAACAGAGTACTGGAAGGGAAAGGGGCCCAAGATAGTTGGTCAGCCTTCAAGGACCTCTTCTTCCGAGCTCAAGACCAGTACATCCCAACAGGTAGGAAGTCAAAAAAGGGCACCAAGAGACCTGCATGGTTAAATGGGGAACTGTTGGGCAAACTCAAGTGGAAGAAGAGAGTGTACAGATCATGGAAGGAGGGGCAGGCCACTTGGGAGGAATATAGGTCTGCTGTCAGAGGATGCAGGGAGGCAACTAGGAAAGCTAAGACCTCCTTGGAATTAAACCTTGCAAGAAAGATCACGGACAACAGAAAGGGCTTCTTCAAATACATTGCAGAGAAAACTAACACTAGAGGCAATTTAGGTCCACTGGTGAATGAGGAAGGTGCCCTGGTGACAGAGGATAAGAAGAAGGCAGAGTTACTGAATGCCTTCTTTGCCTCAGTCTATACTGCTGGAGGCTACCCTGATGAGCCCTGGAACCCTGAGGCTCCTGAGGAAGTCAGGATAGAGGAGGAGTCTACCCTGGTTGATGAGGACTTGGTTAGGGACCAGTTA